CAAAACAAGGATTCACTATACTTTATACTATGTTTATACTAACCGTATAAAATAAAATAATTTTTATTAAAATATATCTATTTTTAATTATTCAATTATAAAAATTAAACCAATCAATAAAGAAATATATTACTATTGCAATAATACTATCGTACTGTAAAATAACGAAACAAGTATTCATTAATATAATAATGATGGTAATATTATTATTATAATTATTATTTATAAACCGTATAAAATAAAATAAAATAATTTTATTAAAAGTAATATAATTAATTATAATTATTGAATTATATTATTATTATATTATAATGATTAAATATAAAATATATATAATTATTAAATTATAAAAATTAAACCAATCAATAAAGAAATATATTACTATTGCAATAATACTATCGTAATGTAAAATAAAAAAGTTGACACTAATATAATAATAATAATAATAATACATTTTACAGTAAACAGTAAAATTACAATACTAATATGTACAACTCCTTAATTTCTTTGCTTTCAAACATTAAAACTATAGAGAAAGCGATAATACAGAGTGGAAAACTGCTGGGAGATCTTACATTTTCTCTTTTGTTGACAACAGATTTATAAACAATTCTAATTACAAATTTAAAACATGGTTGCATTGTCAAATTCAAGCAACCCTTGAATTCTCGTGGGTCGTACATCAGGTCAGAAAATACAGAAATCTGCACAAATACGGAACATTCACATTATATTGCATTAATATACATTATATATGCATTATACATTCAGAAAAGCTGAAGGCTGAGATGTTTGCTTCAATAAATAAATCAATATGCCTACAAATATAAGTTGTGCAGTTGTACTTTCTTTTTTGATGCATAAACTTGCATCTCAGCATTTCGGCGTGCATTTATATTTTCATGCATTGTTTGTTGTGTGTTTGCATGAAGATGCAGATGTGTGTGTAAGTCATGTCACCTGGTAGTGATTGTGCGGAGGACTAGGGAAATACCCATCGCTGGATCGAGGACTCGGGTAACCAGGTCTGCTGGGCTGTGAGATCAAAACACACTCAGCACTTAAACCAGTAAAGACATGCACTCATCAGGGTCAGAGCTCTTTCCAAACAGATCGTCTAACACTCGTCACATGAATGAGTAACTGAATGTGCAGATGCGGATGGAGATCGGACCTTCGGAGGAGCCTCGTCTGAATTCCCAGCGTCCCAGGACACGGTGACCTGTCTCCTCATCTCCATACGGAAACGCTCCTCCTGCTGGGCCTTCTCCTCGTCCAGGATAGTGCTGCAGAGACAGATAGCAAGAGTCAGCAAAGACCTCCAGGGAAGATGCTTTTATAGAGCATTTGACAAGTGAATGTTTGGCCCGTTTCAAATCACTTCCTGACAAAGACAGGAACATTTTTTGGGGCTAGAACAGAAAATGAACTCCAACAACACACATTAATTAATGCTTCACCTGTGTATTTCATCACGCCATTTGAAATGCAAGTCTGTTCCCCACAAAATAACTACATGAGTTGCATTTTCTGACAGCCTTCATTTATATTTAACTGCACACAGAATTAGTAAAAACTACATCGTAATGCCTACATTTACAATGTTAACATTAATTTAATAAATGCAGCCCTGCATCTTGAAAATCAAAAACGGCTTTTTTGCAAAAAAAAAAAAAAAAAAAAAGT